ATAATTGACAAAAAGTTAATTTGTTAATGTCTACCACGAAGAAGTTATTTCTACATTCTACTCTTACCACCACTGTAGTCGTGTCCAAATACATCTTGAGATTACAGTAAAAATCACTACTGTACTGACAATCTGTACACATTATCCTCAATACTTTATAAACAAAATGACATTTTCACAAAAAGTGTGGATCACCAAAAAATCCAGTTTGTCCATAGTTAATAAGTGTAAACTGCTTGTGTGACTTGTTAATTTAACACTAATAAATGTAAAAAAAATAAAATAAAATGAGACCAGCGGAGCAAAAAGCCCCACTTGTATAATGGTAGGGGAAACACTGTTTGGTAACCATTTGTATAAAATGATGGAAAGAGGAGCTGTAAATAGTTTATAAAACTTTATTTTTATTGAAACCTACAGGAAATAGTGGATGCGCATCAACAACTGATTAATGTCTGGAGCCAACTCCATTCAAGATGGCTGCCACAGCTAAGCAAGCCTTAAAAGCCAAAACATGGCTATAAATCAACCAGTTTTATGAATGCAAAGGTAAATTCTGGTGCGGCGGCAGCTGAAAGTTATTCATTCAGAGTCAAATGCATACTTCCAAGGTGTTAGGCCTTTAATTTACATCATAATTGTTGCAGCATCATTATCTGTAAAGATACAGAACTGTTGAGGAGGAGCTAAAATGTTGAGAGTGTCTCAGATATTAAACATCTGGGGCACTAGACTTGTTTCTACTACATCCCTGAGCAAACGTCACCTCTAAAGGTTCATCTTGCCCTTCATGCAGTTCCCAAACAGCATTTAATGATTCAAAAGTTTGTAGTTTAGATTCTAGTTTGGCTAATGAGGTGGAAAACATTCTCTGCAAAGTTTTTTCTGGAACAAAACAACTGGAGGGAATATGCTTCAACTTGCGTCTGCTGGGAATAATCGGAGACAGAGAGGGAAGGAGGGAGCGCCGGTGACAGAACCGTCGGTGAGGGACAAATCAAGGAGACTGTCCTCCCTGTTGGCTCGATGGGAGGGAGGGAGGTGGAAGCAGATGAGGGCACATAGAGAAATGTCATAAAGGATCTAAAGGGAAGAATCTGGAAAAGTAGAAATATAAGCGAGAAGGAGCGATGCCTCCTCTACTTTATAGCCCGTCATATTTTAATGTTTCTTCTTCCTGTTTTCTGCTTCCTCTGCTAACGAATGGTGGTTTTTATGAGTCCACTGTCACAGCCAGTTGATGTGTAGAAGCTGCAGCTCGGTGTTTGAATGGTGACATGTCGTTTATAAGTAGAGCTGCACAAGTCCTGAATAGAAACTGTTTAAATCAAGCTGCACGCACACAGAAAACGCAGCTCTGCAAGCCGAGATATGCGAGGAGAGGAACGACTTGGATGGAGTGCGGAAAGCAGGAACAAGGCGGTGAGGGAGGGCAGATTAGAGAGTTTCTTAACACTCTGAGCTCTTCATCCATCAACACAATCTGCAAAAGCTTTGAAGAGAGAGGAGATGTGCGTGCGAGCTTTTCATCCATAAATGTTTGCTCTGCACAGACAAGTGTGTGGCACCCCATACTGTACGTGTGTGTGTTTATGTGTCGCTGCAGAATCAGCTCTGTCTGTCAGGCAATCGGTTCAGCTGAGCACCCAAAACTTAAAGACTACAAACAAAACAAGGACTGAAACGCATTTCTGTCTCACAAAACCTAATATGCTGTGGCGACACAGAATTTGGGACTTGAACGCTGCTTTTGATGCAGTCTCTTTATATCAAGGTTAGAACACTGGGTTGGGATTACATTATGGTCCTGTTCTTACCTAAGTGACAGGAGTTTCTGTGTTAAGGTTGGAAATACTGTATCCGCGTCAGTGCCTCTTTCCTGTGGGGTCCCACAGGGCTTGATTCTTGGACCCCTTTTATTTTCACTCAATCTGCTGCCTTTGGGTTCTATCCTGAGGAAACACGGCCTTTCATTTCATTGCTATGCTGATGATTGTCAGATTTATCTGCCCTTGAAATCCAACAGTTCCTGCTCCATTCAACTTCTGTTAAAATGTCTCGATGACATCAAGGCATGGATGGCTTCAATTTTTTTTTGTGATCAGAAGACTGAAGTCATTGTGTTTAGCCCTAGTGCTCTACTGCTGCCTCTGATCCTGTAAGTCTTGACTCTCTTCAGCCTTATAAGCAATCTGTTACAAATCTTGGGATGGTTTTAGACTCTGACTTTAAGTTTAATAACAGATTAATTCAGTTATGCAGAAAAGCATTTTCCAGTTAAGGCAGATAGCTAAGCCTAAGTCCGTGCTGACCAGATCTGACCTTGAAAAATTAGACCATGCATTTGTTGCATCCCAGCTGGACTACTGTAACGCGCTTTATGTTGAGGTCAGTCAGGTCTTCCTTTCACGTCTCCAGCTCATCCAAAATGCTGCAGCTCAGCTATTAACAGGAACTCGTAGGTATGAGCACACTTCACCGGCTTTATCTTCCCTTCACTGGCTTCCTGTACGTGTCAGAATTGATTTTAAAAGTCTCCTGTTGACCTTTAAGTGTATAAATGGCCTTGCAACCTCATACCTCTCTGACCTACTAACCATGTTCCTTCTCAGGCGCTGAGATCATCTGACCAGCTGCTTTTGATGTACCAAAAACCAAGTTGAAGCTCAGAGGAGATCAGGCTTTTTCAGTCATGGGCCCTAAACTTTGGAACAACAGGTCAACAGGTCACTTGTCTCTGCTTTTAAAATGCTTTTTACAAAAACACACCTGTATTCACTGACGTTTAACAGATTTGATTTACAATTTCATTTTTTCTAATTGTTTATGTTTTTATGTTTTTATTTTTGGCGCTTTTATTTACTGCCTTGATCTTATTGTTAAGCACTTTGGAAACAGCTGCTGTTTTAAATGTGCTTTATAAATACATTTGACTTGACTTGACAAGTAGCAATCTCTCACTCAGCCTTTTTTGACGTTTTTTTATTGTCCCCTCAAATAGCCCTTAAAAAAAGGAGTTATCCAAAAACATGCATCATAAATTTCAGAGTAATCATAAATCTTGAAAGAAAACACAAATAGCATTATACCTAACCGTGTTTGGATAAAAACAATCTGTTAGCATTGGAAAGACATAGATAAGGTGATTTTTTTTTAATATTCTGAGTATTTGAGACAACTTGTAGAAAAATGAAAGCAAGGTCTCTTTACTCTGTGTCTTTTCAGTAGACGTTTAATTTAATTTGTACTGTCCATGATTCTGAGGAAATTATTAATTAGAAATATTATTGTTATTTACTAAAAAAATAATTTCAACAAATCATTTAATTATGGCAGCGAGGTTGTAAACACTTCAGGATTTCTCATCAAGAACTAATTCAAGGCCACTTCAGCGCAGAAAGACCCTTGGTGAAACCAGTTACACTTTTCATTTACTCACGAACCAATATTTGCACATCTCTGCCTCTTACTCCTCGCTCTCTGCCAGGGTTGCCATGGAGGGAGGTTTTCTTTGCTGCCATGACAACATGAGTTCTCTTTGGTCTCCCCTGACGACAGAAACCGAACAGCCAGCACGCAGTGATGTACACACGCTAGGCTTAAGTCAGCTGTCTTGTCTTATATATAT